AAGCGTCTGCTGAAACCTGAAAAAGGAGCAACCAAAGCGATATGCGATATTAAATATATATCTCCGGATCCATGTGCAGAGAACAAGGAGGTGCGGGCTGGTGCATAAGCTCAACGGAAATTCGCACAATGCACCAGGAGCGAAGCTGTCATATATCTTCCGAAATCCTGCTACGAAAAGCGCATTACTCCGTATAAACTTGATGCAAACATTCATCGCAAAAAGATTCGCTTGTGTGCATATGTCTTCGCTACTCTTGCAGACAGAGCGGACTCGGTAAATAAGATTGGAAAGAAGATGGCAGAAATATTGGCGCTCCGCAACTTTACTATATTTAATGGCGAATACAAAGTTGCCAATGAAAGGAAGTAACGAATTATGTGTATGTGCACCGACGAAAACGTCTATTTTTAAACTAAAACTGTTTCATATTTTGTCAATTTAAACAAAAAGTTGCAAGCGTTTAAATTTCGAGCTACTATTGGGAAAAAAAGTAAACCGTTTTTTTGACATCCTTTTTCTTTGTTGTTTTTTTCTTGTGTTCCTTTTTCCCTATATTTTTTCATCATATTTTAAGGTTTATGGTACAGGTCTATTTAATAAATTTGCGTACAAGTTGTGTGAGCAATTTTGTTGAAATTTTATTATGATCTACACTGAAAATATCAACAAACTGTCGGCACGTTTCAATATGTAACATTGTAATTTTTTTAAACTCATCTAACCCACATACTATTTATTTCCTATATACTACACTACTACGGCTTCCCTTGTTACCTCTGTTTCCTTCGAACACAGTGAAGAGAGCTAATTATGGGATCTAGGATCTAGCCTCTATTTTTAAAAATGAATTTAAATCCTAACAACGTGGAACCATCTTTAATTAATGCATTACATGTGCACTACGTGTACTTTAAGAAGGTTCATTAAGACACAGGGTTTTTATAAATGATTCTAAGGGAGTAGTTGTCCATGGATTTAAAAAATCCCGCTTCGCTGAAATTATGCCTCATTATGACAGTTCTCACTTGTCATTAACGCCATTTGTAACCTGTCATTTAAAGTCATCGTTTATATTGTTTTACTTTTTTCAAGTGTGAATTACAGTAGTTCTCGTTGATTCAAGCTTAAAACAACAAAATAGTCGTTTTCAAAACTCTTGATGCGTGCATACGAAAATTTGTTTTTATGCTAGAAGACCGTGAAAATGGTTTATTCTGTAGAACAAGACACTTCCATTATTATGTCTCATTATCGTAATGGGACACTCGTAAAAGGAAAGTGTGTGTATTCTGTAACCGCCTGTAAGCAAGCATACCGTGATTTGATAATTCAAGAAACATTGTTAGTGGTTCACATTAGAGATTTCTTCGAACTGGCAGTGCCGACAAAGGGAAGTCTGCTGGAAGACCTTCAGTATCTGAAGAAGTTGTTGATGATTTGAGGCAACCTGAGCAGAAACCGCACACATCTTTGACAAGATTTCCTCAGCAGTCAGGAGTTCCTGTTGCAACCTGAAATTGAACAATAGGTCCAAACCATTGACGAAAAGGTGTTACAGAACATTTTTGAAATTAAAAACACGTGCCTTGAAGAAAATGGTGAACATTTTCATTGTTCATTGTGATGTTTAACCGCAATAGATTTGTTTAATAAATTAGTTTTATTTTTAATAAAATGTGAATCATTTAGGCATTCAGTTATACAGAAGCGTATGGTACTTGTCGTGAATCCTTGGGCATTTAGTAAAGTTAAAAACTGAGAGGCGGCACCTTTCCAAGACATACTTCGACCCTATAATCAATTATTATCGATTTTCCCTGTACAAGTTCATAAGCAATAGAAATGCATCTTACACCCATAACAATATAATATCAATCATTACCAGGTACAACCGGGAAACAAAAAATTTATCATTCTAACAGTTTTGATAACATTTTTGCAACATTTCCCTCAATTTATTGTATTAAAATAATTAAAATCAGTGAAAATGTCTTTTGATGAAAGCGATAGTGAAAATTTACCACCACCTGAAATTACCGAACGCGACCAACAGGGCGACCGTCCAAATCCCGGAATACGAAAAGTTTTATTCCCAGTTTATGGATTGGAGAAAGAAAAACAGGTTCAGCAACTTTTCAGAAAATGTTTTAATCGTGTATTTCGATGAATTATCCAAAAAAGTCAACAGGCTTATAACATAAAGTAGACTTGACGAAATATCTCAAAATACACGCCTTAATAAAAAGATCTGTTAGGTATGTAGCTAAAACGTTTTAAACAAATGCGGTAAAACAATTTATTGGAGAAACCCCTGACAATATGTATATTAATTATCCAAGTTTACATGTATCTTCGGTAATATGTCAGCTTGTAAAAGAAAATAAATACGGTGCATAAGTTGAAATATACAGATGTAAATTATTTTGGATCAACCCTTCTAGTAACAATTAAATATACTAAAACCAGAACACGCAAATTTTCCATTACAAGAAAGTATTACGAAATATGTACGAGGTAGAAAGTATTACGAAATATGTACGAGGTACATAAGTCTTCGCCCAGAAAATTGCATAACCCCTTCTGTTTTTATCAAATATGTCAACGGCAAATGGACGTCAAAACGTAAGAGTAAATACATTTGGAAACATGGAAAAAGAGTTCTGCGACATTACTAATTGAGACTGGTGGTAATATAGCTTCATTAAAACGTCACGACGAATGGAAATCCACAGGAGTCGTTGAAACATACATTGTCGAATCAGTTCAAAATGAGAAACGTGAGAAATCAAATTTTGAACTCAATTGAGTACAACGAAGCTGCCAACGAAGTCAACATCAAGCCTTCAACGTCAACGACATCCACTCACAATGCACTTTAATAATTGTATAATCCCTCATTACTTACCAAAATTAATAACATTTCTTTGTTACTGTTAAACTCAAATATTTTGATAGTTCAGTTCGTTTACTTCGTTTATTTCGCTTGACATTTCTAGTTGTAACTTTTCATTATGAGTAATACATTTTTAAAATAAAGCTCTTTCATTATTGCAACTGATCGTAGGAGAAATAGTGTATACAATTCTTATTTAATGACCATTAAGACACTGGTATTCATAATTTTCACACTCGTGTCTTGATGGCTATCATTAAATGATCGTTCTATAATATACTATTCTTATCCATAGTTAACTAAAAAACGATACTTAAACTAAAGCAAATCTAATTACAAATCTAAAAAGTTAGTTTTCCATTGTTTAAACAAAAACTGATGAATGTGTTGCATTTATATAACTAAAAACCGTTTGATTTACTAAACTACTAAGACATAGACTATGTTTCTTTTATCAGTTATCATCCTGTGACATAGAAATGAAATTAAATAAATATTTTATCAAATCTATAACGTGAGCTCTGCGAATACCATGAAAAGCTCTCTGAAAAAGAACGTCTATTTAGTATGGAGGACTAATGAATGCTGAACATCACATGTAGGCTTGTTTGCCCTGTTCTAGCTTTTGTTAGGTTGGCAGTGACAGATTGAATATGAATCTTATTCCACAGAATAAAAAATAAAATGATTTAAGCTGAGAAAACCCACCTACTGAAAACTATTATACAACAGCAGCCAGCAACCGTATTTAGAACTATAAAACATGCAGGGATACGTAATAATTTATTAAAAATATTAACATAAAAGAAATTATATTGTGATTAGGTATAACTTCATGCTTATGATATCTACTTACCAGGGGCGGCTCACGACTTGAAAAGTTGATGAGGCAAAGACAAAACCCTCCAAAATATAAATAATGCAAGATTACTTAAATATTTTCTACTTAGTCAAATAAACAAATTTCTAAACTCATTTAACTGTCCACCAAGAACCAACGTGAAGGTGTAAGGAACTCTTGCAAGGAAAGGATGGAAATGATAGGACAAAAGGAAAGGGAAACGTGGTCAAAAAAAACTAATATAACTTCTAACAAAAAACAAAATTAAAATAAACTTTAAAGAAAACATACAGAAAAAAATCAAATACAACATAAAATAAATCTAATTTGATTTATAACAAAAAGCAAAACGAAAAAATATAAAATATAAATACTCTGGATTTATTTTTAATTTTTTTATAGATCAATTAACAATTTACTCAAATCTGGAACTGGCCGTTTTAATTCCTTAACTACATACAATTTATCATCATACGTGAGAGTAGAAAAAACAGAACTGCCATTGTCATAAGAAAACTGTTAAAATTCTTCAGAAACGTCACTTTTGAAGTGTTTTCTTGTACTTTTAAGCCACTTAACGTTGGTAGAGAAAAATTCCGATTTACTCGTAATCTTAAATAACGATTACCGAAATCAAATTATGACAAGCACAAAGCACTAACGCGACACGCGCAAACGTAGGCACTTTTAAGACAAAATTCTGTTACCGAAATTTTGAATCAATTTATACACACACAGATTTGTGGCAAAACAATCAACGGCCTAATTTTGAATATTTCTGCCAATGCAGACTGCATTGTAATCGCACGTCCTCCGCGCGCAAATATTGTTGTCCATCTCTTTTGCAAGCACGGAAATGAGGCTAGCCTCAATTTTGTCTTTTGTCAACTCATACCGCTTATGAGTGTATTGCAGGTTGCTTGCCTATTAACGACATCATTTCTGGATCTGCTGTAGAGGCAAGGTTCGAGTCTGCCTCATTCGCGTCACACATACATGTTGTGTGGAGTATTGAAGCGCGCTGTTTAATTAAGGGAGCAACGAGTACCTACCGAGATAAAAATAAGAAAATAATTTTCCATATTTGTTTTTAAAATTTTAGAAAAAAGACAAATTATTGGGCGAAATGTGTCGGTAAAAAATATTAAAAATCCTAATAAGGCGTAAAATTGATTGGTGAGACACTGCCTCATCTCCCTCATAGGACAAGCCGCCCCTGCTACTTACACTGAACTGTGTGGAAATATTTTATGACACAGATAATAAGTATAACATATTTACTCTAATTTTGATTACAGTTACTTCCACATCTATAGATACTAATTCAAAATTATAACTAATTTAAATTTTGTATAAAAATTCTAGTAGCTAGTGTTAACATTGACAAAGCCAACATAGATAAAGTCTGAATTTTTACAGCAGATGAGGGTGTAGTATTCGGTGGTAGGGTTGGTGGGTTTGGGTTGGTAGTGGTAGTAGTGGTGGTGGTAGTTGTAGTATTTATGGTAGGAAGCGTCATGATATTCTGTATCCAGTCGCCATATTTAGCTACTTCGGTATACATTCCAGGAAAGTTTTCTTGAGCACAACCAATACCAGAAGATACTATTCCTGCTAACTTTCTCTCGCAAACAAGTGGACCTCCAGAATCCCCCTTTTTTAATTTAAAGCCAATTAGATATTCCCAAATGAAGTGTAAAAAAGAATACCTGACACGCATCTTTCCCAACGATCCCCGCACAAATATTTTTATCACCTATGGGAATGCCTGTTGCAAGGAAATATGATTCGTTGCAAGTATTCCAATTGACTATAGGCACTTCTACGTACATAAGTTTATAGTTCATTGCACTTCCTCCCTAAAAACGAAAGGGTATGGTAATTGTGACAAAAAAATAAAACAAAAATACCCACAGGAGACGTTGTTCCCCATCCAGATACAACACAGTTTCCAAAAAGTGTTTCATCTGTTTTTAAATTAATTAGTCGCACGGTATCAGTCCAAGCTGCAAAACCACCGAGTATCTACAATTGGTTTTTATTATACAATCTCCTCGAACAGAACTGGTTCTTTATAAGTGTCTAATAATAATTTAAGACAATGACTGCCAGTACTTATACTAATAAGCCTAAATAAGGTATGTGCAATACCTACGCTTAACACAGCTATGTCGTTAATAAATGTCGTTTCATTAAACTCCTCGTGTACATAAGTATCGTATACATCTCGTCGTATTGTGCGATCATATAAATCTATATTTCCAACAGCAACAAAGATATCGGAGGGTGGTATTTGAACCCCTCCAGGACGGAGACAACAATGTGCAGCAGTCAAAACGTGAAAAGTGCTTATTATAGAACCACCACAAGAAGGAAGATTTTCCACGAAAAGTACGACCTACAACACATGCAATCTTATGTCGCCAAGGATATTATAGTCATACTTAGGTATTCCAATCCAACCATAACATAAACTTACCTGATAAGCAAACTGAGATCTGTCTGTCACTTCTGTTCCACCAATAATTCTTGGACCTTTCGTTGTACTAAGTCCCGCTCCATTACTAAACAATATACCTAGAAAAGCTGAAATGTAGAAAAAAAACACATACTTTGCATACTTACAACTCAAGATCAAAATTGGTCGTAACATTATGACCGTCAGTATGGTAGTAATCAATTCTGGATGAATCCGTCTGCATAAATATTTTTTATCTTATCTTTATTTTTATTATAGTCTCATTTATGTTTTAGTTCTTTTATGGAGAAAATATTTTTTTCTGTAAACTTCACTTAGTTCACAATCGTATTATGGCGACAGTTTTTCTCAGGTTTGCCTTATAACTTAAGGCGCGTTTTATAAAGTCATTGTTGAGCTGTTCTCAACTTAATCATGCTAGTAGCAGACCATGTGATCATATTCCAAAAATACTATTCTTAAGATTAAGCTTCACTCATAATTCAGTAAGCCATTAATTTTTAAGTTGTTTTCTATAATCTCAGTTTAAACTTTCACAAAACTACGTTTTATAGACATATTAAACATTAGTCTGTTATCATTTTCGCTTAACACCAGTAATCCCTGGTAATATATTTTTTATCTTCCAATAATAAAGTCATTAATTGATAGTACTAATTGATCCAAATTTTGAATTGACTTGTCTTAGTCAATACTAGCAAGTTCATTTATCAAGCGTGGTTTTAAAAAATGAGAAAAATGAAAATAGGTGGGAAAACAGTGAAGTAGTAAAAACAGCCTAAAAAACATAACGAGAAATCGGACTTATTAAAAAGTTGCAAAGGCCACTTTTTTCTATACCAGCAATGTTGGCTGCTCTCTGGAACCGTTATCCCAAAATCACAAAATGTCGCCTTTTTAGACAAAAATTAATACTATAATTACTGTGGAAAAAAACTGAACTTTGACTATTTACGTTTATACTTCGAAAGGATTCGACTATTAGCAAGTTCAGATAACAAGCATCATGCATTTGCGTTAAAAGAAAATTAAATTTTGACTTCTCAAACAAAGGAGAGGACTAATTAATTAAAAATACTCAGTCTTTTTTCCCAAAAAACTAGATGTCTAACGTAAACTCTTACAATTTTGAAGAACATTTATTGGGCAAAAATGTAAGATTACGCCATCATTTTGAGGAGGGGAAACATAAACGAAAAAATTTTTATTAATGATTTACCATGTTTCCGATCCGACGTTTCCAAAAATTTAGATTTCTATGGTAAAAACTCCACACGGATTCATAAATAACACATGCAGGACAATGTTATTCTATAAAATTCGGCAAAATTGTATACTGACGTCAACGATTTTTGGTAAGTCATAAACGGATACATTTTAATTAATAAATTTACCATGTTACGATAACCATAAACGTTTGCAGGATTTCACAACATTCAGTTTTGAAATTTTAAAGTGAAACTGCAAAAGGTTGTTATACAATTTTGATTTTTTTTCCAAATAATCTAGATGTCAAGGGTAAAAACGCAACGGGCATTCATAAAACACAGGTGTAGGAGTATCTTGTTTTATAAAATTTAAGTGGCATTTACGATTCCGCAGTTCTTTCTCACTAACAGGATAGCAAAAAAATGGAATTCGCTCTCGTCTGAGGTGGTTCTCTACACTACCACAATTGGCTTCAAAGTGGCGTCCGACCATATTTTTGCCTCATCTATGTATGAAAATGTTTAACGTTACCATCGGCTTGTTTTTGGTAATTCACATTATTGAAAAATTATAATAGTTTTGCAATATATATACAATGGGCACAATAGGGCTTATCCTCTACCTTATTATCCTTTAAAATAAATCAAAAATAAATAAATAAATAAATAAATAAATAAATAAATAAATAAATAAATAAATAAATAAATAAATAAATAAATAAATAAATAAATAAATAAATAAATAAATAAATAAATAAATAAATAAATAAATAAATAAATAATTGAAATTGGTGTCAGCCCACTGTTAGATGATAGAGTGATTACTGATTAGTAGAGAGCGGATTTCTGTCGGGCTAGACAAGGCCAAACTCGGTACGGCTCGTACGGGATGGGAATTCATTGCATTTACCGGCTGCACTTCGTTTATTTGAGATTAGAATAACGCTGCTTCGTTGCACTCTGCTGTTAATTCCAGTTCTCATTTACTTAGCCGTTTGATTAATAAATCGTTAATTGTATTTATGGAATAAAGTGACAATTAAATTCAGTGATTACCTATCACCCGCTACTGAGTCCCGGCGATGCAGCGCGTCCCCACCTATAATCGTGACGTAGCCCGACAGAAATCCGCTGTCTACAGTGATTAGTCATGATTAGACAAATTTTGGGTAATGTTTCACCATCTACACGCCATTTATTCTAACATACGAATACATATAAAATTTAAGAACAATCGGTCCGATGTTTCAAAAATTATCTGTCTAATAAAAATTGACACAGACGACAGACAGACAGACAGAAAGACAGATAGAAAGGCGGAAACGACTGACCTATTTTTTCGTACCCTAGAGGTCATGAAACATCCAGAAAACATGTAAGTTACCAGTAAAAAACAACACAATCAAATTCACTACTTTTGCAGAGTTGATTTTTAGTTCCTAGCGTAAGCTAAGGGAAGTATTGTATAATACGGTCCATCGAACGATTGGTCACTTTTTTCCATGCACTTTGTAAATAAATATTTACTGGAGTTATAAACTATATACTTATGTGTACAAATTAGTGCATAATTTTAGGTTTTTTTCAGGGTCACCCTAATTAATGAAAACTGAAACTTTTTATTTCTGTTCAGGGTCGTTTGTGACTTTCTTTTCGTCTATACACATATATGTAAATTTTTACATCTTGCTTCAACGCAATCATAACACTAAAATCTACTCTGATTAAATAAGTGTATGGTTTGTTCTTATTAACGTCGTTTTATTAAATAAATGGTAAATATATAATGAAACAAGATGTCATTAAGTTGGTGTTCTAATTAATAAATAAAATAACGGTGTGCATACTGCAATACTGATGGCAGATTTTTACTGTAAATAATTTTGAGTCGACTTCAATTAAAATAATTACAGCTACAATCGGTTACAAACAAAATTGTGCAGGTTTATACACAATAAATAAAAAGACTCCAGAAATCCTGAAACGCCAATAAACGATTTACACACTTTTTTTAATAACAAAAATTGTATGCAAAGAAACATTTTGTTATTCCGAAGCCCAGTTAAACATAATTTATAATTATTATAAATAACGGAATTTTTAAATTGTTTGTGAATTACAGACGGATTTCTACTATCGCCGCTCTGCTACCAAAAACGACAGTAGAAACTTTGTATAAGAAGAAAGCTTGCAATTTACTAAATGACAAACTTTATGTATTGGCAGCAATACATTTTGTCTAATACGGTCTTCTCATCGACAGATAGCGCTACGAACTATGTAATGCCATTGCAGAAAATTCTCAAACAAATTCATTTGAACAACTTCACATGTTCGTTTGACGAAGAAGGAAACCTGTCTTCGAGATTAGCCGAATAATCGGTACCTGGTTTTAAGCGTGATGAACTGACGATAATGAAAACCCAAAAAAATCTTACCTAAATAATATTAATTTTACTGAATATAAAATGATTTTTCACGTAGAGCATAGGTACTACTTGGTTAAGAACTGATTTACAGAAGCTCAATTAAATAAGTATTTGATTCCAATTAAATTTTTAATGCGGCATTAAAATACCACGTGACCGATTTTACGCCAATCAGACGTCGCTAAACGCCTCATTAAATGCGTGATTACCTTAATCTCATTTAAAATATTCCTTAAACTGCCCCGTAGCTTACAAAATCTTAGCTGCACTAATTAAGACAAGATTGGAACCATCAACAGAGAAACAACTGGGGGAGGATCAGGCTGATTTTAAAAGGGGAATACGATTGACCAAGTGTTTAGATACTGTGACAGAGATTATTAATCACATGTGATTATGAATACCTAAGGTTCCAGCGCAAGTGCAATTTATGAGTCTATAAAGAGGAGTGCTCTCGTGGCAACATCGAACAACTTAAAAATACCATCAAAATTCATCCAACTGATCAAGACGTCCTTAATAGATACCAGAAGCACAGTCAAAATAAGATGATTCCTTCAGAAAAATGTTGCCATTAAAACTGGACTTTGACAAATATAATCCCGATTGCAAGGAACATGAAACAAGAGATAACATGAAAGTTGAAGTAGGAAAGAAACTGGGTCTAGAAATACTTCAGAAGAAGAATTGAAAGGTCGGAACGCAACAAAGTATTATTAGATTCCAAATAGTCATGGAAAAGAGGAAATGGAATTTGAAAAAGAGCATTTAATGCGTTCAAAGAAGTCGCCAAGAAATACCAAATTAAGCCTTCATAAAATAATTCTACTACCTATGGCATTCTAAGACTGCAAAACATTGACAGTGAACAAAAACGCAGATGGAATCGAAGAATGATTAAGAGAACAATGTCTTGGGCTTGTCGACAGGATGGAACCGTCAAGAAGAAACTAGGGCCAACCAGAAGAAAGGGAAGAGAAGAAGACCGAGAAAACGATAAAGAAGGGCAGATATGACAAAATTTGATAGAAAACTTGACATGATTTTTTCACGTTTTCATGGATATACAGGGTGTCTCAGAAATAAGTACATTAATTTTAATCAGTTATAGAGCTCATTGAACTCAACAACTTTTTTTAGTAAAGTTTTGTCAAGAACTTTTTAATTATCAAGTTAAAAATTGTTAAAGTTATATCCCAATTAAGGTTACCCGCCCATGGATCCTCAGTCACCCATGGACACTAATAATTATTATAATTAATAATTTATGGACAAAAAGAGTTACTAGGATACGTATTTTCCTAATCTTGTTAATGTGACAAACATTTAGAGAGAAATTGAAAATCCTGCTCCCTAATGGCGTACGGAATTTCATCGGCCCAAATGTGGGTGTTGAACATCTTCCCTCGTGTAACCGACCTCATCAGTTGATGGTATAAGAGATACAAAATTTGCTTGTTCGTTTATTTTTCTATTAACCCACTCACAAAAGTTTTGCCTACGTGGTAAGTCTGATAGTTTCAATAACTGAACTTTCTGGTCCTGAAAGGGGTACATTTGTTCTCTGAGTATCCTCCAAATACTACTCTCCGATACATCACACTAGACAGTGATACGTGCTAGTGCCTGGTCGAGCTTTGACACTCTTCAAAACAGCCTCTTCAATATTAGCAATTCTATTACTACGTAACTTACCCCGATCCTAAGGTGCAGGTTTAAAAGATCCGTACTCTCGAAAATGCTGCAACGTTCTTAAAACTGCGCACATTTGGCAGACGACGATTTGGGAGGTTTTCTGAAAAAATTCGTTGGGCGCGAGTGCCGTTTCCCCGAGCTTCACCGTACGTTAAAACGATATCGGTGCATTCCACATTTGAAAACAAAGCCATTTCAACACATTTCGTTTATAAATTAGAAATCTGTGCCAAACAAATTTTAAAGAGACAACGTTTAGTAAAAACATTGACATAAAAATGATTGTCAGTGTCAAAACGATCGCTAGGGTACCTTCTTCATTGTTGTAGTGTTGTTATTATTTAAGTTATTATTTAAGGTGAACATAGACGGCTCGTGAATATATGGGTGGGAAAATTCGAAATTCGACTTGAGTTTTCGAAAAAATGCTAGATAAAAAAGTTGTTCCGTTTCACGAGTTCTGTTACCGGTTAAAATTAATGTACTTATTTCTGAGACACCCTGTATACAGCAAATTTAATTATTGTTAAATTTTTATTTCCAGTAATTGCTCACCTTTTTACGTAATAACCCACAATCTGTTACTTGCGATTTCACGGAAATGAGGATCAAACAAATCTATAAATTGACTAATAATGTTGCATTATATCTGTTTTTTCCGCAGATATTTAACATCGCTTTTGAATTTCAAATCGAATCATGTACTTACGCATGTTGTTATTATTAATGTTACATGTTTTTTTATCACTGCTTTAACACGTACCTTTGTGATGTGCATTATATATATATATTTAGTTAGCAAAATGCTTGAAAATTTTGTTGAAATTTAAAGAAAAAACAGTTTATTTCTTGTTGGTGATCCGAATATTCTGATAATGATTGTATTTAATATGCAGTGATAACACTGGTCATCATTACAGCTCAAAAATTACAAAGAGCGTAATTAGAAATACAGACTGACTTGTTTCATCATTTTCGGCGAATACCATTAGTTTTGCAATTACTAAATTTATTCCGTAAGTAGTTTCTACATTTTTAGCGATTATCGTAAAAAAAAACAATTTGCAGAATCAAATTTTATAATTTTTTTATGAATAGATTGTGCTATAGAAGTTGGGAAAATTTTGTCTAAATAATCAATTAGATCAGTTTTTTTTTTACTTAACATTCTAGTCTTACACAATTTTCGTAAAGTCCAAAAATTCAAACATGGAATTTATTTTTGCCAAGCAGGTTCATTTCATTTACACAGGTTTTAGGAACATCTTGAAATATTTTTGGTTCGGTAATTTTATATTTAATCGCAGTATCAGTGAGACAAGGCAATGTGCGTAGTTACAAATGAATAAATAAAAAACACACTTCTCTTGACAAAATGAAACACAGACTTCTAAACTTTTCTTTTAACCAGTGAAAAACATGTATTCAACATAAAAAAATTTCTAAAAATTTATAACAAGCCATTGCATATATTGATAAGCAACGTACAAATTATAAAGAACCCTAGGCTATTTTTGACAGCAGATGACTTAACTTTAGAACTTTCAATCCATTCTGTATATTTCGCCACCTCAGTATACACTCCAGGATAATTTTGTTGAGCACATCCAATACCATAAGATACAATTCCTGTAAGCTTACCAGAACATACTAATGGACCACCAGAATCACCCTGGAATGTTAAATAGATTCAAATTACTTTGCAAAATTAGAAATAAAAATAAAATATACGTAACACGAATCCTTTCCAACAGTTCCAGCGCAAATTACATTTTTTCCAATAGGAGCACTTGCAAGAGTATAAGCATCATTGCAAATATTCCAATCAATAACTGGTACCTCCGCATACAGTAACTTTAAGCTCATCACTTGAACATACTACGTTATTTTAAAAAAAATGTCTGCAAATTGTTAACATATATATCTTACAACTGATGTGGTACCCCAACCGGACACCCTACATAAAGTACCACTGGTGACATTACCGCTTGCTAAACTTATTGAACTGACGTTTTCCGTATTTTCGAAAACCCCTGAAATCTATATTCAAAAATAGATGTTAAGTCGATGAAGGTCGTAAAAGAACTATATTACTCTTAGTAAAGCAATGTCATTGATAATTTCATCCGGACTATATTCCTCGTGAGTGATTATTGCAGTTACTTCTTTTACATTAGTTCTATCATTAAACAAAGAATTGCCAACAGCTATAGATAATTCGGAAGGCTTTACTTGCAAGTTGCTTTGTGGCAAGCAGCAGTGAGCTGCCGTGACTACATGTTTTTCATCTATTATCGTTCCTCCGCAAATTGGTACGTCTTTATAAAGAAGAAGAGCCTGAAATGTAAACAAAAATAATTGGATCAGTGAATATTTCGATGTTTCGTTTCCTTTACTCTTAAATGTTAATTTACCTGGTAAGCAAATTCTGATCTGTTTTTGACTTCAGTGCCTCCTATTATTCTAGGATCCAGGTCTAGGCAGTTAGTGCCATTCGAGAAACAATCTACATCACAAAATATGTATTTTCAGTTGTATACTATTCACAACCATGATAATAACGTATGCAAGAAAAAAATAGTATTTATTCTACTTACAGACAAAAAGTATTATTAACAAAATCATGACAATCTATACACAACTGATTTACCTACCACACCTTTATACCACCGCGCTTGTGATAATTTCTCTATCTTATCTTCAATTTATGTGTTACGATGTTACGATTAAATCCATTACTGATATTGATACAATTGATTAGACAATGTTTGTGTTAAAATTATTATTTCTGTCCAGTGGAACTATTTTAATTGCTATGTGTTAATTAAAGGATTTAGCATTACATTCCATACTATTTTTACTCCCCGAATGTAAACTAAAGAAGTATTATAAGGTAACGCACTTAATGAATCGTTAATTTATCTTTGCTCGACGTTTCACTACGTTTAAAACATTGAAATAGGTTTTCGTCTGTCTTTCGGTGATTTTATGAGATAATGAATCTTCATCGTAGTGACCGATTTTTGGTAGACGTTTTAAATTTTATATATCTTTTGAGTAATATACGGATGCTTGCATGGTTTACTTTTAAATCCTTTTTTGTTTGCCCCCTGATTTTACTGTTGATTTAGAGGTAAATTACTTACTGCATGCAGATAATTTAAAATTGATTCCTGAATTGCCTCATTGGAAAACTGCCTCAGTTTACAAAATAACCTCGTGGGTGTTATCTTTCTTCAAATGGTCTACACAACATTTTAATTATTCTGTTGATAATGAGATCTGAAGTTGTTAGTTTTCGTATCGGTCACACTACTACAGTTGCAAAATGGACCTCCAAATTCCAACAGGATCTCTGATTAGATTGCTGTAAAGCTTAATATTGTCAGTAAACATGGCTAGAAAGGACGGATGAACTTGAGAATATCCGATGAAAGATGTAAGAAGAAGAGAGGAGCAAGAATTGAACCTTGGGGGACTCCGCTTTGGACAGGACAGATTTAAGCAAAGTCTGATCCCACTGTAAGTTTGAATGGGCGGTCGTGAAGAAATGCCCGAACTGAATTTAAAAGTTAGCCCCTTAAGCCTACAAAGTGGAATTTAAAGAGAAGACGCACTTTGGAAACCCGATCAATCTCCTTAGAGAAGTCTAAATATACCATGTCCAATGGCTATTCCGAGTTTATAGCTACTGTCCAATTGTTGACAGACACTAGCTTGTATGGTAGAAATTGTTTGCAGATAATTTGTAGAGGAAAATGTGTCCACTTTTTTGTATGTAGTTTGTGTTACAATAGCTGTCAACCAGTTGCAGCAAAGTGCAGCTTCTTCAAATGAAGATTTGGCAAAATATTGGACCGACAATTTTATCAATGTAAGCGTTGATAATTTGACAAGTAATGTTATCTGGACCTGGAGCGCTTTGTCTTTTAGCTATTTCTTTTAAAGTTTCTTTATTGTTGCTTCTGTCATAGTCACTGTCAACAGGGAGTTTTGTTCGAAGAATGGTCCGTAAGTTTCCAGGCTGCAGTTGGAGTGAAATTCTTCTAGAAAAAGCTCAGCTGTTTCTTTGTTAGATAGACAAAGGTTGCCATCGTGTTTCCATAACAACGGAATTTCAATTTTAGTTGAGCGGGATGATTTCGTATATTTGTAAAATGACTTAGGAGCTTCTGATTTTACTAAATTATCTTCGAAAATTTTTCTTGTTTTTTACAACCCTGAAGCTTCATGGTTAGAAAATCGTCTATGCTTTAGATATTTGTTTTCTTTTGTATGCTTCCCAAATACGTTTTTTGTCTTTGATTAACTCAAGTAAATGATAATTTATCCAAGGTTTCTAAAGGGGAATTTTAATTCCTCTATTAGTATAAATATGTTTTTTGACGGAGCTGGATAGTGTCGTTTCCAATAAGTTCCACCTTTGACCAGTGTTGAGTGAATCGAAGACCAGAGTTCCATTTAATAAAAGCAAGGTCATTTCACACTTTGTCGTATTTTATGTGGTCAATTCTTTTCATAATTATTCTATGTTTATCAGTAATTCCGAATCGTTTGTAAAAAATAAGTCTGTTTGAGAAGAGGCATGATTTTGACGAATTCTCACTGATTATGTGTTTTGTTGTTTTAAATTTGCCTGCAGAATAGAACCCAAAATGTTATTATTGGCCAAGAAAGGTAAATTATGTTAAAGTCGGCAGCAATGATGACATTTTTGTTAAAGAGGGAGATATTTTTAATACTGTTGAATAAAGAAAAATCAATTTCCGGAATGAGTTTAAATAATTGGTCTAAGATTATTTCGACAGAAGTTCCCTCGCTCCAGTGGTATAAATAACACCCCCTCAATTGCTGCGCCGCGAGGGTGCAAATTCCAAGAGGGCACGGTCTACACAAATGTGGACAATATGAAATATACTTAAAGCAGATAATCAGCGGAAAACAATGTATTCTTAATTCCTAGTACTTGTTTACTTTTAACTGTTTATGTTTATACTTCGAAAGAATTCGACCATTACCACGTCGGGGTTGAAGTACATAACGGTGGCATTAAATGTATGCATATGTGTTAAAAGAAACTGAAATTTGATTGATTTTGTCTCTTCAACACAGAAGAATATACCAACTCATTAAGTAAGTATACTCGGTTTTTTTGTCCAAAACGTATAGATAATACGTTTGTGCGTTACGTGTCGGAAAGCAGACGCGAGGAGCCCTGAGCCTTTGCACCTCTGAAGCAATTCGCTCTTATACTCGTAAAAAAGCTTGATGTACAATATCGATTTGTCTTGCGAAAATTAGGATGCCTGGGAGAAAATTTGAAAACAGATTCATAAAGAACAAATGCACAAGGACATATGTTATCTTATAAAATTTAAACCCTACTTATTATGAAAAATTTTGAGGGGATGTCATCACGTTGTTGGTGGGGATGATTAGAAAAAGTTTGCTTAGCATTTAACCATCTACATGCTATTTCTAATATACATGCAAAGTTTGAGGACAATTGGCCCCCTAGTTTCGGAGATTAGGTACTTGTCTAATTAAAATGGATACAGACACCAGACAAACAGACAGACAGACGGACGGACGGAAACGGGAGACTACTTTTTTCGTATTGTAGGGATCATGAAAAGTCGATGGACTCGATTACTATACTTCTTTAACTTACGCTCAGGAAGTAAAACGAGTCGATAAATGCAATATATAGGTAGAGAAACTAAATTGTGATGAACACATATTTAAAGCTAATGCCTCACAGCCAGCAAGTAGTTTGAAAGGAGTCGCTGAAATTTGGAAATTAGATGCTAATTCGTTACCCATGAAAGTGCAAGCCCCTCCACCTCTACCACTGGCACGGTCGTGGCGGTACAACTATAATAGCCTTTCTTGGAGAGATATCAAGGAACCGAGGAAGTTTGGTGATAACCAGGTTTCTGTAAGCATAATTATTTTTGGGTGATTAAGTTGAACAAACGCGGTAAATTCGTTTATTTTGGAGAAAAGTGAGTTGACATTGGCATAAACATGCAGTATTAAATTTCTCTATTTTTTGAATGAAACGGTGACAATAGTTTTTCTTTAACATATTTGACGGTAACGTTGGTTTCTTGATTGTCTGTTCGATTTTGACGTGTAGTACATAGTGACCTTAGATAAGTTAATTGGTGGAGAGTTTTGTTGTCAGATATATTGATATTAGGTACCAAATTTTTCTTATTTTGGAGGACTAAACGCATCTTCTTGTCATCAGGGAAAATTACTATTTTTGGTAACCTGTTTTATCGGATGCCGCCTGGCCTAGTTGATGACATTTTCTTGAGGAATATTTTCTTCAGTGGTGTGATGTAGATCACTAAATATTTTTTTTCTGCTACCGATAGCGTAAATGAATCTTATTGCTCCAGTGACACTGATGTAAGCGTAAGTGAAGTAAATAGGGCAACCTCGTTGCTAGCTCCGTAAGTAGGTTACTAAGGGCGTAAGTGTTACTTACGCTGCCAGGACAAAAAAGTAATGAAAGTAGTAGAATGTCAGAGAAATGTCAATAATTTCATTTTACAGCAATAGTTTCTTTTATAATTATTTATTAATATTAACTGTAACACTACACTCAGTAATATTTATTAAAGGATTATTATTTGAAGTTATTTCAAAATTAGTAACTGTCACATTTTCATCAACTGCATGAGCTTCCAACATTTTCTTATATAATTGAGGTAACAAACAGAAGAACTGACACGACGTTAATTTCAGCATTGAATATTCACACCATAAACTGCTAGGAGACTTGCGGGCTCCGGATCTTTCCTTAAAATAACCAAACATTACGGTTTCATTAACATCTTGAATGTTTCGTGATGTATACCAAATTGAAAATGCGTTGTAAGTTTCATTATAACGGAATTTCGATTTTTCAGGTAACAGACATGCGCAAGCAATATTGGCAGCTTCTTCTATTGCCTGTAAATGACTTGAATCACTCATTTTTCACTTTGAACAACTACTTTTTATTAGAAAACTTCACTTGTAAACAAATTTTTTTATCTTGTTGCTACGGAAATGAATACGTTCAATGAGTTCCTGATAATTTCTTAAATATTTTTTAGTTACTAGAATTATTACTTTTTAGTGTTACTGGTGTCGGTAGCAGAAAAAACGTAATACAATACACGCTGCGTAACTCCTTTCTTAAGTCTCGGAGGTTTGCCGGGCCTCGGTGTTGCCTCGGCCCGTCAAATCCACCTCGACAAAAAAGTTTCCTTACGCAGCTTGTAATGTAAATAACTAATAAGCGACCAGAAGGTCTTATTCTTGGCGGTTTTGAATAGAATCCATTTTTTCCGAAATCCCATGATAAGGACATTTTTTATTTTTACATACATTCCAGCACTTCACCGGTTGCTTCCTCAAAAATTTCCTCATTGTATTTTTGTTGTTTTTGGAAGTCTAATTTGTTTTTGATGGATTCAACTCGAGTAACTAATTTTAGCAACAATGAACTTAAATCGACATTGTTACAATGCTTGCAAACACATTTTAGTCTTATTCTTATTCTAACTGACCCCTTAAACATCTTCATCGGAAAACCCAGCACAAGACATGTGGATGTGTCCTGTGCATCCGGCACATGTGACAATCGTTTTTCAATTGCCAGGCGGCGCGGAATAGGTGAGACA